AACAAAGATCACAAATTTTATTGTTGATAGATATGAGAAAGAGAGCACAGATAAAAAATAAAATGTAAATAATGGTACTTACTTTCTATTGTTTGACAAAGATAACAGATATAAATATAGTTATTGATATTAGAGAAAACAACAGAATAAAAGATAAAATGTAACTACTATAGAACTTATTATGACTTACGAACTATTGTGTGACAAAGGTAACATTTTAATCATTGTTGATTGATATCAGAGAGAAAGACAGATTAAAAAATAAAATGTAAATAATAGTACTTACTGTCTATGTATCATGACAAAGGTAACAGTTGATTGATATCAGAATTAAAGATCAAATGTAATAATGGTATACGTTATGACTTACTGCCTATTTTGTGACAAAAATTATTGTCAATTGATATCAATTATGATAAATACTGTTTAGTGCTTTATTTTCAAGGAGCAAATTACACTTATACAGATTTATAAAAACGAATTTATTGCAATTTCAGGTGTTAGCACCATGCATGCCTTTAATGGGCAATTGAATATTTAGTGGAGCTTTAGTTTTGTGGTTGCATGCTAATCCAAGAAAACTGTAAAAGTTTTGCTCTTCAAAAGTAAATATGGTAATAGTGCACATTTTGACTTACATTCTATTGTGTGACAAAGATAACAAGTCATTTATTGTATCAGAGAGAATGACAGGTTAAAAGATATATATAAAATAAATAATGATAGTACACATTGTGACTTACTCTCTGTGACAGTTCATTTATTTTATCAAAGAGAGTGATAGATTAAAAAGTAAAATGTAAATAAACTTAGTACAAATGATGACTTACTGCCTATTGTGTGACAAAGATAGGTTTAATTAGATATCAGAGAGAAAGACAGATTAATATGTAAAATGTAAATAATGGTATATTATGACTTACTCTCTATTGTGTGAGTTTATTTATCATTTAATGGTATCGGAGAATGATAAATTAAAAGATAAAATTTAAATAGTAAAGACTTACTCTCTATTGTGTGACAAAAATAACAGTTTAATTATTGTTGATTGATATTAGAGAGAATAAAATATTAAAATATAAAATGTGAATAATAATAGTATATACACGTTATGACTTACTCTCTATATTATTAATTGTGTGACAAAGATATTATTGATTGATATCAGTGAAAAAAAAATCAAATGTAAATAATAGAACACATTGTAACTTACCGCCTATTGTGTCACAAAATCAATAGTGTATTTATTGTCAATTGACGTTAGAGAGATAGACAGTTTAAAAGATAAAATTTCAGTAATAGTACACATAACAATCAACCTACATTCTATTGTTTGATAATAATTATCATTAGAAGAATTTAAAATAAAATATCAACACATTGTGACTTACTGCCTATTGATCATTGTTGATTTAAGATCAGAGAGAATTAAGAACAAATGAAACAGTAAAATTTAAATAACAATACACATAACAATTGACTTACATCCTGTTGTGTGACAATTGTTGATTAATATCCAGAGAGAAAGACAGATTAAAAGATATAAAATATAAATAATATTACACACTATGACTTACCCACTAGGTGTGACAAAAGTAACAGAGAGAAAGAGTTTAAAAAGTTAAAGTGTCAACAATAGTCCACATAATTGACTTACGTCCTATTGTGTGACAATTATTGCAGGATTGATATCGGTGAAAAAGATGTAAATAAGAGACAAAATGTTAATAACAGTGCCCATTATGACTTACCTTCCACTATTGTGTGACCAAGACAACAGTTTAATTATTGTTGATTGGTATCAGAGAGAAAGACAGATTAAAAGATAAAATGTAAATAATTGTTACACATTATGACTTACCAACTATTGTGATCAAGACAACAGTTTAATTGTTGATTGGTATCAGAAAGAAAGACAGATTAAAAGAGAAAATGTAAAT